GTCGCCCCCTGTGGCGACGTCCCTCCCCGCCAGTCAGGGCCCTCTCCGCGCAATACGCGGTTCTCTACGACGCTCACGTCGTGACCATGTGGCCATGGACCGGGCCCACAGGTGCCGCCTTCGGGCCGGTTCGTTGCCACTTGCTCGGCGCTGGTGTGCCCCACTGGATACGTGCGTGGCGTTTCGGAGTGGTCCAGCCTTCCGTCGGACGCTGTGCTTCCGTCCTCGTTCCGTCCCAGCCGACCAGGCAGGTCTACGCCGTCGACACGGCCCTGGCCCTTGGCGCCCCCTGGCGACATGGCCAGTGTGTACCGAGCCCGTCCCCACTGCAGTGTCTGTGAGGATTGTGCGTGCAGGCCACTCTCTGCCTGTCTCGTCAAGCACCTTCACCGTGGTGGACTGGCGCCGCGGCGCAAGACACAGAATTCCTTTGCAGTTTGCCACAGGGCTGCACGATGCTCGAGCTTCCCTGGGCGTTGCAGTTCAGCCAGCCAGCCCCCCGCCGCCGCTGCCGCAGCTGCTGCCTTTGTGAGCTGGCCCGGCCGGCTCGCGCTGCGCCCAGCAGCTAATTAGGTTTGCCCGTCGGCCCGGACACCCTGTTCGCCGCCTGCGCTCTTCGCTTGCGGCCGCGACCACAAAAAATATCCCCGCCAAGCCGTCCAGATACAGATCGCCAGGCGAGCTGCTTTGGTGATCGTTTTCTGATTCATTGTTTTGCCGATCGGCGCGGGCCCTCGCACCCCCCCCCCGACGGAGCAGATCTTGGCTGTTTTCGGCGCCTGCGTCGAGGGCGCACTGTTGCAAACAGTCGTGCTAAGCAGAGGTCCAGAGCCAGCCCCCCCATTTACGCCCAATGTCGAAACGCCGAATGTGAAAAACGCTCACTTGACCAGGGAAATGTAGAAGCATGCGGTGCCATCTTGGGTCTCTCTTGGGGCCCTCGCGGAGCCACGTGGGGCACTCCTGGGGCCCTTGTCCCCCGTGCAAGGACCGCGCGCGCTTTTCTGAGACGGCGGAAAAAATGCCCCCTGGCGTTGGCCGCGACGGGTCGGCCCTTGTGGCGCGGAGGAGCGCGCGGCAGCGCAGCGAGGCGATGCGAAGCAAAGCATAACGAAAGGTCTCAGTGGCCAGGGGCAACGCAAGGAAGGATGGGCTCAGGAGGGAGCACAGGTTCCGAATCGCCCGCTCATCGCTGACAGGGGCCCGGTAGACCACTCCGCCGAGGTCCGTGGGGGTTGGCCATCGGGCGCTTCTCTGTCGATCTATCGGCGATGTATCGCCAGTTCCAGGTCGACGCTTCCCCCCCCTGCGCCAGTGGCCCCCCTTGGCATTCCCCTTTCAAGGGAGTGGAGTTAACAGTCGGGTGTAGCCAGGATCCCAGGTAAGGCGATCTGATTAGTACTCGGGCCCTGGACCCTCTAAATTGGCTAGAATTGTTTAACCAGGTCTGTCGTAGCTGGTGTTTGTTTTTCGGGCGACGACAATTCCGGTTACGGTAGTGGAACGGGGCGGGGGGGCGACCCCCAGTACGCATCATTAAATTCGGTCCTACTAAACCCAGTTCTGCCAACGCCCGAAAGAAGAGGAGGGGCGGGCCGGATGCAGTAGGGTCAGTTGCAGTTGCTGCAACTCTTGCGGATACTGCAGCTGCTGCCGCCGCTGCTGCGGCTGCCGGCGCCGCTGCCGCGGGGCACGGGGTGCCGCTCGCACCGACGGGGGCCCGGGGAGCCAGGGGGGCGCGGGTCATGCGCCAGGACGCGCCTCGGGGTGCCAGGGCATAGCAGAGGTCGAAGCCAGGGTCCTGGCTCGATTTCTATCGATAAAAATCCTTCGCGGAAGGCGCGATAACGTGTTGGTTCGGCGTAGAGGCGCAAGGCGCCCCTGGTTGGATAAACACTGTGCATTTGTCGGGTCCTCTGCTCTACTTTTCTCCTCCCCCTTCGGGGGCGCCTACGATTTGATGCGATTCGATTCGCCGGCTGGGGCCGCGATTCCGATTCACCAGCGTCGGCCAGCACCAGCTGGCATCGGTCAGGGCCAGCCGGAATTTGGCGCGGCGATCCTATTTCGATCCGATTCGGGACGGTTCGTTGGTGATCCGATCCGTTTCCGATCCCATTCGCCCTCGCGGCTGATTTCGGACCCGGCTGACCTCGGACCTGGCTGAACTCAGACCCAGCTGATCTCGAACCCGGCTGAACTCGGACCCAGGCCCGTGGTTGCTCTCGGACCCGCTGAACTCGGACCCCGCTGAACTCAGACTCGGCTGAACTCGAGCCCGGGTGAATTTGGACCCGACTGAACTCGGGCCCGGCTGATCTCGGACCCTGCTGAAATCGGGCTTGGTTGATTTCGGACTCTGCTGAACTCGGACCGGGCTGATCCCGGAGTTGGCTGGTTGCGTCCTCGGCCGCTCCGGTTGCGGCGCAAGCCTCTTGAACCACTTGAACCGAATCACTTGAATGTGGAGCCCGCTGAATTCGGACCCTCATGCCGCGCAAAAGTTTGTTGAGGTGGCCTTGGCGGAGCAGCAGCTCTCTGACATTATATCCTACCAGGTGTTCATTCCAGGCGGAGCGATTATCCCTGCCATCGACGAACTCGGTGGAAGCGGCGGCGCAGGCGCACGATGAAGTGGCGATCCCAGCTGGGGAAGCGGCGTCGCTGCAGGGCATGCTGGCGAACCCGCCCTAGCCGCAGCAACCAGCGAATGACCGGCAGCAGGAAGTGATGCGTTTCGCGCAAGCCGCAATTGCGAGTTCGCCCGCACAGATGGCAATCACCACGACGCAGCCACCCACTACCGATCAGCGCACCGCCAACGCTACGCTCGCCGAGAACATGGGCGGCAGCAGGGCGATGCAGATAGATGTCTGAATTGGGGATGATGTCGCCGACACGCAGCTGGATACGACATATGATGCGTAAGCATGTCGTGTTGCTGTGCTGCTGTATATTTTCTCTGCGTTGCCTGTGGCGCCGACTTTGCTCTGGGCGTGGCTGTTCGATTGTGTCGGCGTTCTCGGGATCGACACTGCTTGAGCCACCGGGATCCGCCATGGAGCTCCGCCGTGGACAACAGTGCTGCACGACAGGAAAACGAGGGGATGCATCCAGCTGCCCGCGGCAAATCCCGCCGTCGCGCCTGTGCAAGAGCGCAGAGAGAAGGAGGCCGAGTGCAGGAACGGCGCCATCCCGATGAGTGCCTCGACAAGGACGGCTGGGGTTAGGCCGCGTCCACACGCCACTGCAGCACAGCGAGCGGTCTGCCCTGGGAGGGTCGCGATCCCGCCGTCGTCTTCGTCCGCGTGGTAGTCGCCGCGCAGAGCGTGCCCGAGTGGAATGGGCCGCGCGCCGTGTCCTTTCCGGGCGCGGACGTGGGTGATGAGGCTCAGCTTCGCCCTGCCTGCGAGATCCAACTGCTCCAAGTGAAGTTGTTCCAGTGGCAACCCGCGCCTCGCGGCGTCAGGGCGCTGGGGTTTTGGAGGCTTCGGGCCCCAAGGGCTCGAATATCTGGGCCTTCAGGGCCCTGGGATCTGAGGGCTTTGGGGTTGTATGCTTCGGGGCCTGCAGGGTCGAGGGCGCTGGGATATTTAATCTTGTCCAGCATCAGGGTCTTCGGGAACTTGGGGGCTCGGCATTACATGTGGATGCCTGTGGCAAGCGCGGCCGCCGGGCAAAATCAGCAAGCGCCTGATCTCGCCCCCTCGTCCTGCTCCTTCGCTTTGCCCTTCCCCCATCGTCATGCCCCTCCTCGTCGCCCTTTCTCTTTGGCTGCGGTATTTTTTTCCGCCGCGGCCCCCCTGCGCTGCGGGCGGCAGGGGGGGTCTCGAGACAACGTCATTCATGACGCCTGCCGTTCCACGATTTGGGAGCGGAATTCTGTCTGCCGGCGCCTCCTTTTCCCTTTTTGCTTTCCGCCATTTCTAGGTTCTCTCCCCGCCCAGACTGAGCCAAGCCCGCACCCTCCACGGCGGAGCCGCCTACTGCGCCACGAACGATGGATGGGGGTGACCTTCGTTAACTTCTGCCCCCCTCTCCCTCCTGCCCTCGTCCGCTGCTCCTTCCCTCTTTCCCCCTTGCCCCCTCCCTCTCGCCCGTCACCCTCCTCTTCGTTTTCATCCTGGGGTCTTCCCCGGCGCAGCCGGGGCGACCTTGTCCCGCGCCCCGTCGACCCGTTCTGTCCCGTTTCCCGCGCGAGGAGGGGTCGCAAAAGATTGTGTTGCATGTGATATGTGGTGCAAGTTGTTGTGTGCTGGCCGCGTGGCCGATGGAGTCTGCCGTGGATTCGGGCGCAACTTCGGCCTTTCCCTCCTTGGGGATGCTTTCGGCGGGGCGCGGCTTCCCCAGGGCCGTCGGTTTGCCCCTGCGGGTGGCGCATTTCGACCGCACCTGGTGGCGAAACAGTACGGTTCCCGCCCCCACCGGTCGATTTTCAATTCCCATGTCGACTGGCGCTGCAGGGGGGCAACGACCCGCCCCCCCTTACGGTCGGTCCCTCGGCCAACGAAAATGACCCAAGCGGGGGGCGGGACTCGTATCTCCACCTCGAGGCACATGCGTCACTCCCTCTAACTCCAGGCGCCAAGCGCCACCCACCATACTTGCCCTCCCAAGCCGTTGGCGGGGACGGGGACGTCGCGGGGCGCTTGCCTGAGCCCTCGAGCGCGGGCGGGTCTGAGTTCAGCCGACGGCTGAACTCAGACCCGGCTGAACTCGGACCCGGAAGTTCAGACCCAGCTGAATTCGGGCTCGGCTGATTTCGGTTCCCGCGATGTCAGACCCGGCTGGTCTCGGACCCGGCTAAATTCGGACCCGGTTGAATTCGGGCCCGGCCGATCTCGGACCCAGCTGATCTCGGACCCGGCGGTTTTTGGGTTCGAGTTTTGGGTCCGAGTCCAGCCTGGTTTCGGATGGTGTCAGAGTTCGGATGGTGTCCCAGTCTCTCTCCGCTGCTCCCCCCCCCCCCTCCCGCCATCCCCCCCCCCCTCCGACCACAGGAGCATTTCCGCGAATTCTTCAGGGACTACAACGGCCTGTTGGAGTCCGAGGACTACGTCACGCAGCGCCAGGCGCCGCGCTGCCACAGTTGCCGGGGAGAGGCTCTCCTCCTTCGTGGGAGGGAAGAGGCTGTCAGGGGTGCCATTTCGGGGGGGGAGGGGGGCAGGCTCAGAGACCCGAGCTACGGCCCGAAAGCGGACGCACCGACCTCCAGTCGCCCAGTCCCCCGGAAGGAGCCGATAGCCGATAGCCCGCCGCGCCCAGGTAAATGGGCGTTCGCTACGGGGGGGCGCGCGCCGATCTGTCAGCGATGCTCGCCGATTCAAGGTCGACGATTCCCACCCACACCCCTGAGCCAGACCCCCCCATATCGTTGCCCCAATGAGGGATGAGGAGGTTCGAGGTTCGACGATCGAGCTTCGAGGGTGGAGGTGTTTGGATGTGTGTTCGCCCTCCTTGCGCCTCCAGGTCGCTTTGCGTTGCTCTGGCGGCGTTCCGCTGGAAACCGCTATCAGCACTTGATCGACACAAGAAACGGTATCGTCTTCACCGACATTGGCGCATGAGCTGCCCGCGTAAGGTCGCGCGTAAGCGCCCTCGTCTTTACTTTAGCGCGCCGCGCCGGCGGCCCGCGTCAGCTGCGGCGTAACGTCGCTGTGCCACCTCGCGTAAGACCCGTTGCTGATCGTCGCTCACTTCATTTTGAGAGGTTGTGAGGGAGGAAGGAGAGGGGGACAGAAAGGATCGCGTCTGAGGTCTCCGCGATGTTCGGCTTCTAGACTTCCAGATGCAATTGTTCGACAATGCGGCCTTCGGAAATCGATCCTGTGTGGACAATTGGCCAGGGGGGTGGCCAGGGGGGACCGAGTTTGAGTGGAAGGGAGGGGGATGATGTAGGAGGGGGAGGAGGAGGAGGAGGAGGAGGAGGAGGAGGAGTAGGAGGAGGAGGAGGAGGAGGAAGACAAAGGAGGAGCATCGATATGGTCATGTACTTGGAGACCCTGAGGATCTCTGGAGAAGATCTCCCCCTCCCTCCTTCCCCTCCTCGTTACCTCGTTCCTGACCTCGATTGGGAAGTCGAGCTGAGGCGCTGGGCAGCACGAAAGCCTGATTCTCCCAGCAGCGATTCGGCTTCATGTGGAGATGAGTCCTGGAGGAGGAGGAGGAGGAGGAATGGCTCCGAGCGGGGCCCAGTGAATGTTTTCGTATTGGGTTTCTCGCTCGCCTCGTCGTCGTCTTCGTTTTCAACCTTCTCCGCCTCCATCCTCATCGCTCCTCATGCTGCCCCTCCTCGTTTTCCGCCTCCTCCTCCCCCCTCTCATCATATTCCCCCTCGCCAACCATCCTTGTTGATGTTCCTTCTCCTTCTCCCTATCCCCATCCCTGTTGCTGTTCCTTCGCCTTTTCCCATCCTTCTCGCACGCGTCACGCGCACTTTGGATATCGATCTCGCGACGGCCGCCGCCAGGCACTCAAGCTCCTCAGCGAGATGCTGCTGGACAGGACCTTCATGAGGACCTTCCAGCCCCGATTCCTCCGACACCTGCTCCTCCCCGATGGGGCCCTGCTGGCTGGATCCAGCCCCAGGCGTGTTCCTACGAGTTTGTATTCTTGTGCTGTGGACCCCACGACGTATCTGGCCTGGACGCTTCTCCTGTCAATGCAATGTGTGTGTGTGTGTTGGCATGTTGGGTGAACGCCCAACTGTCGCGAATTCTGCCTCGCTGCATACGCTCTGGCCACATGCGCGCGCGCGGGCGCAACGCAAAGTCAAGTATTGCATGCTGAGGCCGAGTTGCTGAAAAAAGCATGTGCAAATCGCGTGTGTGATTGCAGTGTTCCAAGCCGCAAGCAGACAGACGCTTTGCGCGCGTGCGCCCCAATGCGCAGCAACGCCATTATCAAATTGCGCGCATGAGGTCATCAAATTGTTCACGATATTCAGCGACATAGTTGGTGAGACCCTCAAACAGAGATTAATGCTACGGCCTGCTGGGCAATATGTGCTTGCTCGGACGCGATGGACGAGAATGAGTAAAGTTTCATGGTTGGGTAGGGTGGGGGGGGGGTATGCTCGCGCTCCGTCAATGCAATGGCCGCTGTCTCACTACAGTCAACCCGCATAGTCATGATGAGCGATTGTCCAGTGTTACAAGGTTACCCTTGCATCCTTCCCCTTCGGCGCATCATTGGCCGCTTTCGCTGGCCAAGCCCCGCTCGCAAAGTGTCGACATGGCCTTCCAAGGCCCTTTGCATCCTTATCGCGCGTCCTTCTTATACGAGCTGACTATACGCCTACCCAGTGTCTAATTGCCTTCGGCCCATCCCGCCACCGTGCCTGGGCCGTGGGTATGAAGCCTATTTGATGTTCGTTGGGATCTCGGGAGGCTTCTCGGGGGCCTCTCGAAGGCAGTTTGGACGCCTCTTAGGGGCCTCTTTGGACCTCTTGGGGGCCTCTGCCTCCAGGGGGCCTTCTGGGGGCCTCTTGGGGCCTCGTGGGGGCCTCCTGGTGGCCTCTTGGGGCCTCCTGGGGGCCTGGAGCGGAAGGCCAAGATTTTCGGTTCGTGCTCCCTCTTTGGGGCCCCTCTCGGGGCCGTCTTGGGGCCCTCTTGGGCCGTTCTGGGCGCGTCTTGGGCTGTCTTGGAGCCCTCTTGGGCTGTCTGGGGGCGGTCTTGGAGGCCTCTTGGTGCGGTCTTGGGGGCCTCCACGGCCGTCTGGGAGCGTCGGGAAGCCGACAAGCCGAGATCGCCAATATAAATTACAAACACCTGAGGAACAAACATGATGTTGGCCTCTTGGGGGAGCCTCTTGGAGGCCTCTCGGAGGCCTCTTGGGCCGTCTTGAGGGTATCTTGGGCGTCGTGTGCCGATCGTTCGGCGTCTCGGGATTCTCTTGGACCGCCATGCAGGTCTCTTAGGGGCTCTCCTGACCCGTTCTGGAGCCCTCGTGGGTCTGGACAAGTGTCGCGACATGCCGCGGGAGCCCTGCGGGGGCACGCGCCAAGCCCGGAGAGACTTGGCAAGTTGGGCTCTGGGGCCCTTCGAAGGCTCCTCCTCCTCCTCCTCCTCCTCCTCTTCCTGAGGACGAGGCAAAAAGTCCTGAGGACCCGCCCATTCCGTGCCCAGAGGCAGTGTGGCGGATTACTTGAAGACGCGTAGGAACGGATTGTCGAGAAGGATTGGTAGATTCAGTCACAGAATGGACAATCATTGGGCGACGGGGTATATGGAATATTGTAGTGGCCTTCGGCCAGTGCCGCCGATCCGGGTCGTTCGGTGTTATTCTCCAGACGCAGACATTATGGGCGCACATTCAAACGCACAAACTTCTCGGATTACCTTCGAAAGGGCGTAGGAATGCAGTTGGGTCAATAGAGCCATCTCGCAACAGTGGTTCTATCAACGGCGGGGTACTTGCAGTGACCGTGGGGACGGGAAATAATAATGACATGAAAATTCCATACAGGATGCCGATCACTTTGGAAACTCACGATACGTCGTGCACGGAGTCGTGTTACGAAACATGTGGCCTGGACGATGTGGTGCGAGCGGTGGAGGCGAGCCTATCGGCGCAAGGACGCCCTCTTGGGGCGTTTTTTGAGCTCTTAGGAGCCTGTCAGGGCGTCGTGGGGGCTTCTTGGGGGCTTTCGGAGGCCCTCTTGGAGGCTCTTGGCGCCTCCTGGGGGCCTCGTGGGCTGGAAGGCTAGATTTCTTCTGCTTTTCGTCCCTCTTTTGGGTCCTCTTGGGGCCGTCTTGGGGGCCTGTTGGGCCGTCTTGGGCGGCTCTTGGGCCGCCTTGGGGCCCTCTTGGGCCGTCTTGGGACTGTCTTGGGGGCCTCCTGGGCCGTCTTCGAGCGGTCTTGGGGGCCTCTTGGGCCGCCTTGGAGCATCGGAAAGCCGAAAAAAGCGACAACCCCAAAAACATTGAAAAAACAAATGGGAATCAACGATTTTTGCCTCTGGGGGCCATCGTGGGAGGCCTCTTGGAGGCCTCTTCAGACGTCGTGGAAGGCTCTTGGGCCGTCTTGGGGCCATCTTGGGCGTGTTCGGGCGATCCTTCGGGGTCTCGGGACTTTCGTAGACCGTCCTCAGAGACTTTTGCGGCCGCGGCCACCCTTCCAGCGCATCCTCGAGATTAGAGCCTTCTGTAAAAGCAGCGCCCCGCATCCGCCGGAAACTCGCACCCCCCCCCCCCCATCCCCCCTTCCCCGGCAGAGCCACCCCGGCAACCCCCCCAGAGGCTGAGGCTCAGCCTCGAGGCTGTAGCTGAGACTCCTTGAAACTCACACGCCGGATCGGCGGATTGGGCGACGGGGTATATGAAATATTGTGATCCCAAGATTGAGATATGGTGGAAGCAGCGGAAGGCGTGATCTTAGCTTCAGGCATGTCCCTCCAGATATTCTCAAGCGATTGATTGCACCCGTCCGGACGGTGACGCCTGGCGCGCACCGCACATGGGTTGGGAACCTTGACGTTGTTATTATCTCTCCCGAGCGATGTTTTCCCACCCCTGTCCGATCGCAGTGACGTCCAGGCAGGCCCTATATGAAGATGAATCGTCCCAGAGCCTTCTGGAACGCTCTTAGAGCGTTCCAGGGCGCTCTGACACGGCCGCGAAGGGAAATACACGGATTGGAAGAGATTCCCGAAACCATTCGCGCTCTGAAGGGCGGGTGGGATTTGAGACGAGGTCCTCGTCGGCTCCAAAAAGGGAATGCATGTCCATCGGGCCGTTCGGATGGATTTCCTCTATCGCGCGGGCGGTACTAGAGCCAAAACGGGGCATCCGTCTTGTTGTACCAGCTCCGCTCCAAGATCCCCTCCTGCTGGGCCCTACTGAACCAACTTCCCTCCAAGATTTATCTCAAGCCTTCGTACACATCCCCAGGACACCCTCGGGAACCCCCGAGAGGCCTCAAGAGCCCCCCAGGAGAAGAACCAAGCCGACTTTCGTGTGCGAGGGGGACGCGGGCTGGCTCAACATGTGCGGCGATGGTT